CTCTCTGTGCCTCTTCTTCTGTCTCTCCCTTCGTCTTTCCCTTTATCTCTCCCTCCATCTCTTCCTCTGTTTATCTCTAGCCCCCCTCTCTCCCTGCCCTCGCGACCCGAAACGTGTATAACTCCTCAGCTGCTTTGACATCGCGGCTGTGTAGACGACCGTGTAACGGCGCGAATGTAACGGAACCGTCGCGATAATTTCCGCGCTGTGAACTACTTCATCAAACACTCTTGCATAAATCAAAGTAAACTCGGCGCGGGCGGGCCGAATGGGAAATGGCTGAAGATCGCCCGGCGAGCCCGGAAACCGCGTGCAGCGGAACGCTCTCGTTTCTATTTACGCGCGCACCGCTTTACCTCGTGTTTCACGCTTGCTAGCTTGAAAACTTGGCGGAGACTTATCTGCCGCGACAAGATCGCTAGTTTTTCGAAATCACGCTCACACGTACACCGGCCACTTATCGTGGCTGGAATTTACCTTACCACCACGTCCCTGGAGGCAGATTGCAGGATATTACTTTGCCGACTTCGTGATCCTACATATCTTTTGCCAGCCGTCCCGCCCCACCGCGCCTACCCTATCCTGCTGCATCTTGGCTCGCGTCTTGCCTCTCCCTTCCCCCCTCGCACGTTTTCCGTGTACCTGGCAAGTCCCAACTTAACCTGAAAGGAACGCAAAAGTTCATTTCGTTCCGGGTCCTGTCAAGCGGTCTAAAGTAGCAGCGCATTTCGCTATCCTGATGTCGGCGTTACACATCAGACGTTACAAATGGGCAATTAAAGTGTTACAAGCTACCCCCCCCCCCCACGAAGTGCTTAGCTCCGGCGAAATGCGTCGTGTTTACTGTAACGAGGAGTTATTCTTTCTTCTCTCTTCCTCCTTCTCCCCCTCTCTCTCGTGCGCTCCCTCTTCTCCTCTGCATCTCTCCCTCGCGTGATCAAACGGCGTGTTATTAGGGAGCTGTTGGGCTTCGATCGATGCCGAAGAGCGAGACAGCGAAATCGAGGGGGTTGGCCGGCGGCAAAATCGACCGGGCTTGCGATCAATTCACGCGGGTGATTGCGAGAGAGACCCTTGTCCGAAGCAGTTGACGGATCATTACGGACATTTCAGTCTTCGTTCGAAGTGGTTATTTCTGGATGATCAATGCGAAGATGTAGCTGTGCACGAGACGGTATGCGCGCATCAGTCAAGAGCTTGACGTCGTACAACAGCAAGAAGCGTGCAATTACTCGAAGAAACAAGAAGTGTTTTCGGTCTATCGGGCGTAAAATGCGAGGGAGGAAGTTTAAAGAGAAGCGGCAGCGGCCGCCTCGATTAGAGTGAGCGTCCCGCGCGTTTGCACGGCAAATAAACGGTGAAATTATACATTGTTAAACGACGGACAGTCTGAAATGGAGCGCGCGCGCACGCCCGTGTGCGGCGATGGTCTATTTTTAAGGGCGGTTGAGCGGAGGAAGAAAGTCCCTTGAATAAAACATATCTACCGGCGAGCATGTCCCGGAGTCTCTCGCCCCTGGTTTCGTCCTTTCAACCCCCTTACTCCCTACACCTTTATCCCTGCCACCTCCTTTTTCATCCGCCGTACCACCGTTAAACATCCATTCATTCTTTAGCGCGCGATATCGCTCGGCGTGCAACTACTATTATGCTAGCACTCCGAATGTAAAAGACCGCAATGCGATGTATGAAGCAGAATCAAGTGCTAATTATGAGGTAATTTTTTAATTTATATTACATTGTATCATATTATATATATTTTATTTGTATATATTATATTATATTATATTATATTATATTATATTATATTATATTATATTATATTATATTATATTATATTATATTATATTATATTATATTATATTATATTATATTATATTATATTATATTATATTATATTATATTATATTATATCATATTATATTGTATTACATATTATATTATATTATATTAGATTACATTACATTACGTTATATTATATTACATTATATTATACTATATTACGTTACATTATATTGTATTTTAATATAATGCGTTTAAAAAAAAATAAATGAAATTTACAAGCCATGTAATTTTTGTTTTTTTATTGAAATCCTGTCTCTGCCGCTCGCCCCTGGTTTCGTCCTTTCAACCCTCTTACTCCCTACACCTTTATCCCTGCCACCTCCTTTTTCATCCGCCGTACCACCGTTAAACATCCATTCATTCTTTAGCGCGCGATATCCTCAGGAATCCGTGTATACATTTTCGTATTATTAGGAAATTAAAAATTTTCCATCATACTAAAACCAGTTGTCTGAATACTTTTTTGCTTATTATATTTGCTCTTGATACAAATTTGTGCTCCTAGAATTTTCTAGAACCTAAGATTTCCTGTAAGAACCTAGAATTTTTAATTTCCAGCCAGAAATTAGAAATACCTCTTCGATTATCATGTTCTCCTAATACAAAAACGAAAAACCGGGAAAATTAAAAAATTTCACATTTCCCGATGTTGCGTTATGGTATCAGGAGAATATGATAACCGAAGAGGTATCTCGAGTTTCTGGCGGGAAATTTAAAAATTCCACATTTCCCGATTTTGCGTTTTCGTATCAGGAGAATATGATAACCGAAGAGGAATCCCGAGTTTCTGGCGGGAAATCTAAAAATTCCAGATTTCCCAATTTTGCGTTTTCGTATCAGGAGAATATGATAACCGAAGAGGTATCCCGAGTTTCTGGCGGGAAACTAAAAAATTCCAGATTTCCCGATTTTGCGTTTTCGTATCAGGAGAACATGATAATTGAAGAGATCCCGGCTTTCTGGCGGGAATTTATAAATTCCGGATTTCCCGATTTTGCGTTTTCGTATCAGGAGAATATGATAACCGAAGAGGTATCCCGAGTTTCTGGTGGGAAATTTAAAAGTTCCAGATTTCACAATTTTGCGTTTTCTTATCAGGAGAACATGATAACCGAAGAGGTATCCCGAGTTTCTGGCGGGAAATTTACAAATTCCAGATTTCCCGATTTTGCGTTTTCGTATCAGGAGAACATGATAACCGAAGAGGTATCCCGAGTTTCTGGGAGGAATTTACAAATTCCCGATCTCCCGATTTTGCGTTTTCGTATCAGGAGAACATGATACCCGAAATGGTATCCCGAGTTTCTGGCGAGAAATTTAAAAATTCCGGATATCCCGATTTTGCGTTTTCGTACCAGGAGAACATGATAACCGAAGAGGTATCCCGAGTTTCTGGCGGGAAATCTAAAAATTCCAGATTTCCCGATTTTGCGTTTTCGTATCAGGAGAACATGATAATCGAAGAGATCCCGGCTTTCTGGCGAGAATTTACAAATTCCGGATTTCCCGATTTTGCGTTTTCGTATCAGGAGAATATGATAACCGAAGAGGTATCCCGAGTTTCTGGCGGGAAATTTAAAAGTTCCAGATTTCACAATTTTGCGTTTTCGTATCAGGAGAACATGATAATCGAAGAGATCCCGGCTTTCTGGCGAGAATTTACAAATTCCGGATTTCCCGATTTTGCGTTTTCGTATCAGGAGAATATGATAACCGAAGAGGTATCCCGAGTTCCTGGCGGGAAATTTAAAAGTTCCAGATTTCACAATTTTGCGTTTTCGTATCAGGAGAACATGATAACCGAAGAGGTATCCCGAGTTTCTGGCGAGAAATTTAAAAATTCCAGATTTCCTGATTTTGCGTTTTCGTATAAGGAGAATATGATAATCGAAGAGGTATCCCGAGTTTCTGGAGGAGAAATCTAAAAATTCCAGATTTCCCAATTTTGCGTTTCGTATCAGGAGAATATGATAACCGAAGAGGTATCCCGAGTTTCTGGCGGGAAATTTAGAAATTCTAGATTTTCCGATTTTGCGTTTTCGTATCAGGAGAACATGATAACCGAAGGGGTATCCCGAGTTTCTGGCGGAAAATCTAAAAATTCCAGATTTCCCAATTTTGCGTTTTCGTATCAGGAGAATATGATAACCGAAGAGGTATCCCGAGTTTCTGGCGGGAAACTAAAAAATTCCAGATTTCTCTATTTTGCGTTTTCGTATCAGGAGAACATGATAACTAAAGAGATATCCCGAGTTTCTGGCGGGAAATTAAAAATTCCAGATTTCTCGGTTTTGTGTTTGTTGTATCAGGAGAATATGATAACTAGAGTGGTATCCCGAGTTTTTGGCGTGAAATTTAAAAATTCCAGGTTTTCCCGATTTTTATGGTTTGATTTCAAGAAAATATAATAAGGGAAAGATGGTGCAGGGAAGAGAGAAGAGAGGGAGAGAGAGGGAGAGAGAGAGAGAGAGAGAGAGAGAAATAATAAAACTTGATTAAAGTAAAATTATCTTTTATTTTTATTTTTATTTTGATACAATTATAATGTCGTGTGTGTAATACATAAAATATATAACGTATTTAATATATATAATATGTAAAATATGTATAATACATAAATATGTAAAATACAATATAATATGTATAATAATACAATAAAATTATGTTTTTACTTTTATTTGTATTTTATTTCTATATCTATTCTTTTGTTTCTATTTATATTTTAATATAATTACAATATGATGCGTATAATACATAAAATACAATATAATATACATATATCGGCAGCGGTGCCAGTAATTTGCTAAACTTTTATTGTGAATATGATAGAAAACTACCTTTTTCATTATCTATATAATAGGAATTCAACTTCTTATAGATACTGATTAAATTATTCCCTAAGATACAGTGTACCTTTTTTCATCATCACTGAAGCTCGAGTCTAAAACGGTGGCAATTTTTCACGAAAACGCCAAGCACGGTCCTGGTCGTAACGTCTCAGACGCGATCGAATCTCGACGATGATTCGTATCGGTGGATTTAGAGTCGCTGGCAGAGGAGGCGGCGTCGCGTCGTGCCGTCGATCGATCGTAAAACGTTCCTATCGATAGGCGCCGTTCACTGACAAATCGCCCGATTAATTCTTTTTCCCTCAGGCTCTGACAGCAAGGTGTCGGACGTTGATGGACAGCCCTATACAACGTTGCTGTACAGCAACGGTCCAGGTTACACGCAGCCGCGGAATATCCTGCGGGAGGTTGGGAAAGATTCCATTCAGGTAAGGGAGGCCCCCATTCTCATTTCCGCACGCATGGAAGGTAGCCCGCCGGTGTTTATTGGATCGGAGAATGATCGAGTGGCGAGATCGAGGCCGCGCTCGAAAATCCATCACGTACCATCGCTGTTCCAGCTTCGTGAAATATTCGACCAAACACTTCCGACTGCCTACTGCCAAGTGTTCCCGATTCTCGATCATTCCGCAATGCTGCTCTCGACGCGGGTTTTTAATTTCTACCAAGAAATCACCCGCGATACTCTACGTACCGAATTTCTCACAAAAGACACAACGATAGATAACGCTGATAATGACTCTCCACGCGAAGGTTCGCGTTGCGCGAGAACCGTCGACCTTCTCTCATTGCTGCGTCACGACTCCTCCACGTTGCACTTCTTTCGCATCGCAATCCAACTTAAAGTCATATAAATTTACACATTTAATAAATTTGCATGTCTCGCCGTGGACGAAGATGCGGCGAGTTTCGCGAGGTAGTCAGCGAGGTCGACATCCATTCACTCCCTCGCGGCGACACTAATCCCTCCTCCCAAAATTTTCGACGGTCACCAACGGTCTTTCGAAGGGAAGAATATATGTCGCATAATAAATCACCGCGTGTCGCGGCGATGGTTACGGAAGGTTCGGCGAATTGAGTGCTGCCCACCCGTCGGTTTATCTGTCTTCCCGCGTTTATCAATGGTGATCCCGCTCTCGCTCGTCGTTTATCGATTTAATCTCTCCTCGCTGACGTATCTTCATGGATGGAAGAGTGCGTGTTTATTCCTTCGATTACGCTGCGCGTTACACGCATCGCTCTGCCGCATTGCCCCGTATACGCCGCGCGTATATATCGCGCATTTGCATGGCGATTTGAATTTATAGTAATCCGCAAACAAAAATATCTCACCGCGCGCGCGCTTCAGCCCGGCATTCGCATTCGCAATTCCTCGCGCGAGTTTTCGCCTAGTTTCATTTCATTTCGTATTTATAATCTATCAGCCGAGTATCTCGACGCGGATATATATTCGCATCCCCGCCGAATATTTACTCGATGGATATTACTCGACATCACTGAATCACGCGAACGCGCAGAAAACGCGGGCTAGATTATTTCGCGCTTTTATTCGCATTTCGTTTTTACGTTATCACGCTAAACACGTGCGTGCAGTAATTCAGCTTCTGATACGCCGAGCGTGGCTTTCGGCTGATCTCACGCGTGAATACGTCCCGCCTGCGTCGCTGCATGTTACTTTTTCGTTTTGTTGCCTTACGTAATCGCAATGTATCACGCCTGCTTCAAATATTAATGTAACAGATAGTATAATCACGTACATATAAAGCGCGCACGCACACGCAATACGCAGCGCGCGGCGAAATGCTTCCTTCGCACGTGCAATTTTCTTCTTTCGCGAGAAAGAGAGAGAGAGAGAGAGAGAGATCTCCGTAGTTTCTTTCGTTCAACGCCGCGGAGATTGGCCGTAGTAGCTTCGTCCGTGTGTATACCGGGTGAGTGTAAAAGTTTTCACGGCTTTCCTCAAGATAACTCTCAAACTGATTCGGTTTTATGGCGGCACTTGCAAACAATACCGTCGAATAATGGGAAACAATGGCGATTACTTGGTGGAATGGCTAAATCCTTTCTGACAGGATTACTCAGTCCACTTTTCCATCACGAAATCCGTCAGAACTCTCGCACTCACCCAATAATTAATTGACCAAAGAAACGTTATGTGTGCGCGCGTATATGTATGTGCGTGCGTAGTTTGTGTGTGTGTGTGTGTGTGTGTGTCTGTCTGTGTATATGTGGGTGTGGGTGTGGGCGTGTGCCGACTTAGAGCGGTCGGATCGCGAGAGCTCATCTCGCTGTGTGCATTTCGACGTAACCTCAGTCGGAGCTGCGATATTCTCAAGATATTTAATATCGGAGATTAAAAAGTTACGGGAGAGATATATAATAGTCTCCGATCATCTTTTCGCCAACTCAGCCAAAGTGTTCGCGAGCGAGACGAAAGGCGCCTCTCCACCTCTCCCTTCCTCCCTCCTACCCCCGCCCCCGTCTGCCCCATCATGCAGTCCGTACATCGTGGGACTCGTTATCGCGTATCCTCGCGAAATTAAAAATCCAGACCTCGGCGGGATTGCGAGGTAACAATCCACGCGGTTCCTTCCCGGCCGCGGCGCGGCGCGGCGCGGCGGTCAGGCGCGCAATTGCGGAAATTCGCTTCCGCGGTTATAAAGGTGTCATCTGGCGATGGCCGCGCATGATTATTCAATTTCTCGAGACGTTGAGCCGCGTCCGACGACGAGTGACGACGAGTGAATGGTCACGAGGGCGAGTGCGGGGCGAAGGTGGTCGGGGAAGAAACTGATTAAAATCTGGATGGCCGTTCGGGCGATAAATCATGCCGGCTGGCCGGCCGGCCGGCCTCGTCGCTCACCGACGATCGTTATGAGATGCAAGAGCTGGGCGAGGAGATACCTCGGTAGAGATCCCGCTGGCAGAATTCAGAGTCGAGGCGACAGCTGTAACGGGGTCATTGCTAGGCAGCTCTGAAGCTGCTTTACGCGGCACGTTATTGCGGGGAACGTTCGCGCGGGACACAATAGTTGTGCCTGAGCGCATCCTTCAAATATTATTATTCCGATATCATTAAACGTACGCTCGTTCGCTCGCTCTCCGGGTTGCATGCAGCATTGTCTCGTATTCGGTTTGCTGCCGCTGGTAGCGCGGCTTTCCTCCAGCGACATCAGAGAAATAATAATTTCGCTGCCCGCAGATGCGGGAATTCTGGGAGCAACGGCGAGGGCAAATATCACGCGCCAAAGTTGCGAAACACTCGATATCATTATGTGAGAAATCTCTGCCGTATGAGACACTCTTCTCTGTCTCATAATTCCTTGGTCTCGTCGCGAGTGTTTGACGGAAATAATGCCGACATGTGTGCCGTCTGAGAGAGGGCAGAGGGAAGAGGGCGGAGGATGACGAGCAAGAGGGGCAGGAGGAATAGGTGGAGCGGAAGGAAGAGGAGGAGGAGAAAGAAGACGCATCTCTATTTGAATTAAATGGAAATTAGCGACCTCAAGCCCCTCAAGGGAAACTTTTCGCTCCTCGTGTTTCTCTCGCTCCTTCTTTCGCGCGGCAGCTTGCAAAGCCCGTTCAAAAACGCTCCCGGCTTGCTGAGTCGCGGCAAAAGTTTCGCGCTTCGAACGCGCAAAGTAAATCCCGAGCCGGGCGGAGAGAGTTACGCATTACAACGTGTCCCTGCGTGCTGATTTCAGCAGCTTTACGAGCCGCATGTCCGCAACGGGCCTTTACACGTTGTTCGAGCTATTCGGCGAGCGCATTTCATTAGGAGACGTCTCTCTCTCTCTCTCTCTCTCTCCTCCCTCTCTCTCTCTCTCTCTCTCTCTCGCCCCGCTATTATATCTGTTAGAATGCGCGTTATGCGGGGCACAGCGGATGCGTAGCTCCGGAGCAACGGAGATGCCTGAGATACTGCGACAGAGTATCGTATAAGCGTCTCTCGCGCGCGGTTGCCGCGCCGTCGAACTGCCGTGTAAACGTAAATTCGCATAAATCGATACCGCGAGCGAGCGAGAAGAGCGAGAGAGCGAGCGAGCGGTCGCGCGCGCGCGCGCGCGCGCGCGCGAAACAAGAAGCGGCCGTATTTTACGCGGGGAGATTGCTCTCGTTTTACGGGAATGTGATTTACGCAGTGAGTGTCAGGTATGCATTAAACGCGCAAATCTGGATCTACGGGGAGCCGGTATTAGCTGCGAATCTCATGAGCGTAATACGAACGCGGTAAACGCGCGCGTACGCGTCGGCTGGCGCGCCGAGTAAACAGTGACCTAATTTCCGATCGCAGTTGTTTAACTCGAGGGAAACGTACACAGAATGACTCGAAGTTGCAGAGTCGCCTTTGTGCGGTGTTTACACACGCGCGGCCGCGCGAATTTCTATCCAGAATGCCGGCCGTGTAACAACACGCGTCGATACAATGTAACCCTCGGCGCTATTTGCGGGAGTGTGGCGCAACGTTTTTTTCGCCGGCTACACCCGCCTGGCGGGGAAATTTTACGCGACAGAGCGGTAGAGCGTGGGGGGGGGGGGGGGGAGGGAGCCGAAACGACCTCGTCTTAACGCCGCGGATCTGGCGGTACTAATTTGGCTAATTCGATACGCACGCACACACACACACACACATACCTATATAGAGAGGGGTAGAGTCTGCCCGTGCGAGATTCAGAGGTAATTTTGAGCGAATCTGAATTTTGCACGGCGCGACATCTCCCACGTGTGCGCCAGTTAATGCCGCCAAGTCGCTCTTGGCAGGACGCGTTGCCGTCGTTGCCGTTAGCGTCGTCATCGTCGCCGTCGTCGTCGTCGTCGGTGTGCAGGTGCTATCGGAAATGTACGTGTGTTTACGCGTTGAAAGTGTTCGGCGAGAAGGACTCCGACGTATATCGACCCCCGTCTCCGTCTCCGCCTCCGCCTGCGCTTACGTATATATACACGCGTGTATATATTAACGTATGTACAAGACGCGCGAGAAAAAAACGCAGACGAGACGCCGGTTATTGCCCCGTTGATTTGTGTCCGCGATTATACGCGCCGGGGGGAGTTAATGCCACGGATATCCAGAACGAATTAAACACCGCGCGCGCGCTCGCGAGCTGATATCGGGCTATTTTAGTAGACGTCGAGTCTTCCCCTCCGTAGGGGCGCGAATTAACGGGAATTCTTCAGCCTCGATAATTCGCCCGTTCGCATCGCGCCCAACCCGTTTTTTTCCCATCCCCCTGTCGCCATTATATCGGTATGTATTATACGCACCCCTGCGCATACCTGAAGCGCGAAGTAGCACAAATCTGTTCCGCTCCGCGTGGTCGACTTCATGGTGCGCGGTTCACGACCTGTATGAAATATCCGCTTCCCTTCCTCTCTCTCTCTCTCTCTCTCTTTTTCTTCCTTTTTATCTCACTTCACCTTTTTATCTCCCCTCCCTCCCCCTCTCCCCCTCTCTCTCACCCCCTCCTCTCTCTCTCTCTCTCTCTCTCTCTCTCTCTCTCTCGTTCTCGTGGATGTCTTTAAATAACTCTTTTGACATTCACGAGTTTTTGCTCCCCGCGGTACCAAGCAGCGAGAGCTTCCCGTCGTTTTTATTAACGTCCAATGCTCATCTTCTGAAGGAGAGAAAAAGCAAAGAGAAAGCTGCGAATTGCAAGGCAGAAGTAGAAAATTAGAACAATTTTGAGCTATTTACGACAGAGTGCCTGACGATGACATATTCTCTCGTATACGCGTAAATTAGAGCAAACCCAAGAGAAAATTCCTCTACCATTTTGCAAACGGTCACGTAAAATTTTGAAATGTCAATCAAAGGAGATTGGCGAATGATCATGCGCGATACGGCAAGTGAGCTGTGATTGCGATTCCTCGAGCGCTTGTATTATAGTATTGTATAATGGATTAGATCAGATTGAACCAAAAAGGCCCTGCGCGCCGTTTTGCAAATAATCGCGATTTAATTATTGCGATCGACAATTCAAGAGCACTGCTGCATTATCGCATCGGGTCATTTACGAATCTTTTCGAATTAATGATTGAATGATTAATTTCTCGCAACATGATACAGCGCTTTTTTGTTCAGTTCGACTTATGCCCGGTTTCTTCACACTTCCCAATAGCTATCTTCCAGTTAAAGATATCCGTCAGATAACTAAAAATTCGTTTTCTTCACTAAAACCTCTGGTTACGTACAACTAACAGATAGCTGTTCTTCATGCTACTAGCTTCTGACACAAAATGTATTAGAAATTTGCTATAAATCAAACATATTCTGCCAGCGACATATTCTTCTCCGAGCTAGTATTAATTAATTAAAGTAATTTCCACAGTATTAACAATCGGTCTTCAATTGCATGTAATAATTCGAGCACTATATTCTGTTTCAAATGAAATCGTTCGAAAAATTCTGTGTCATTCCACACTTGAAAATTGTTCGCTTTATTTCTTATCGTACAGGGTCTTCTTTTCACAAATTCCTCGTCGTCATCATTATCGTCAGATTCAAAAATATTAATATTCATGTAAGTATACAAATCCAGTTGTGTACAAGTCCACGTTGTGCTTTCATAAAAACAGCAACAGCAACAGCAACATTACGTATTGTTGTAATTTTTTAATTATGTCAGGGCACTGGAATTAATATCCGCTAGATACCGCTAGATACCGCTACTTCAGCTACCGGATAAGTTTATCTGTCGGATACAAACTTCACAAAGGTGAAGAAAACCGATTCTGGCGGATATCTCATGAATAAAGTTACCGACAACTTATCTAGAGGTGAAGAAATTGGGCATTAGTCTACAGATACGCGACAGATTGATGTCCCCATGTATCGTCGGGCATCCTACATAACATCGCGTGTTAAGCAATGTTTGGTCGCTGATACGCACAAGGTGCACACGGTAAACACAGCGGGTGCGCTTAAAAGTCTAATTTCACGGATGACGAGTCGAATTAAGTATCGCGGGCGGCGCGCGCGGCCGTCCGCCTTACGCGCCGGTAATTTCAGATAAACGCGCGGATTAAAAGAAACGAATGCGGGCTCGTCTAATCCGACATGGTTTTAAGTCGCTCCTACCCGGCACATCGCTATCGTCGTTATCGCTTTTATATCCGACGTTTATCTCGATAAGCGTTCCGCTGTGTCCCGGCGGCTCCATTTGGCGGCTCTCGCATCCCGAAATAAAGCACGTGAGCGCGCGAAGAATGCAACTGGCCACCCAAATAACGGGAATACCGGGCCTCACGAGTCGCACGGACAGCGGATAACGCTAACCTCTTACGATACTTAACGCTCTCCCTGCGGACTATAATTCCTTAAGACGCCATTTCCCAGTTACGTCCCGTGCCGACGCGAGGTTCTCTCTCCCGCTGCGAGAGGAGAGGACATTGCCTTCACGCAGACCCTCGCCGGTGGCAGGATCTCTCTCGGGGGGAGATGCGTGGACGCTGGCAGGATTCGGAGTCGTAGGAGGGGCAGGAGGGGAGGGGAGGCCGGGAATGCACTAACATCAGAAACGCGAGAGAGAGAGAGAGAGAGAGAGAGAGGGGGGAGAGTACTTTCCCAAGGAAAGAGGTTTTTTATATGCTTATTTTGAACAAACACGTCTATTCGTCGCGTTTTAGTATTATTACCTCGAATTCCACCGCCGTCGGGGAGAGAAACTCCCGGAGAGATTCCGTGTAACTTAAAATTTAATTTTTTTACCGGCGAGAGAGAGAGAGAGAGAGGGAGCGAATCGAAGAATCGGACATCTCGTGTTTATGCATTTGGTAGTCATAATAAAATTTACGCGCCAGACTGATGCAGCTTCTCGAGTGAATATTCGGTCGCGCGACCCCGAGGAAATCCTCGCGTCGCAAGGAGACAGTGCCGTTTGAATTACGGCTCGTAATATATTCATAATAAATAAATATACATTCATGGGTGGGAATAACGATGTAATTCGGTGATATAACGGTGATATTCGACGTTCTCGAGATGCCTCGTACCTTTGCACTTCGACGTCGGGACAAAATTTCTCGTTCACGCTGCTGCGTTACAGATACATGTGGGTCAAATTATTCGCGATACACCGCGGATCGATTTCACCCCCCCCGACTGCGGCTGCGACGCGCTCAATATCGAACTCTCGACGAAAGTTTCACGCGCGCGCGCGCATATCTTCAGGTACGAAGTCGGGGAGAAAAATTAGACGAGGAGAGAGCAAATAGAAGAAAAAAGAAGAGAGATAAAACGCGGGCGTCTCGGCACAGCCATCGTCGCCACTTCAGCTGCATTCCCCTCGCTCGTTGTCTCCTCGCAGACATGCTGCCTCGTTCCACCCTCATTGCGCAAAACCACTTCTTCCCGGGTCGACCGCGCCACTTCGGGACGCACCGTGGCCTTTCATCTGATCGTCGAGGCGAGATCGCGGCAAAGGGTTTTCACGACGAGAAGGAAATATTGCGAGAGAATTCCTCTTACGCCCCGTGGCAGCGCGCCTCATTTGAGCTGCAGCAACGAGCCGGAGGGCGGAATAAAATGCGGCGGAGAAACCTGCAGTGGCGTAGTTAGAACTTTCGGCGATGCTTTCCGAACCGTGACTGCTATAATTTCGCCCGCTATTAGTCCCGAAACGAGCCGCTTCTGCTGGAAGTGATAGTAGTTCAGTTTTAGAGCACCGCGAGGAGCGCGAGGGAACGAGGGCGGAGGCGGCATTTAGCGCGCTGATTTTCGCGTCTCATCGGTTTCATCCCTACGAAAGTAAGTACGGAAATGTACGCGCGGTGACAGGAGGTGAGCGCAAAGCGCGGAGAGATACGATAAGTGATCTAATTGAGCGGCCGCAAAAAGGCAAAGGTAAACCGACGGGATCTCTCGCGTCGTCGGTTAGTAAAGGGAAGAAATTTTTCGCAACGGCGAAGTTATTCCGGCTTTATCCGGTAAGTTATTTGCAGTTGGCTTATGTGTTACTCGCGTCGCATTGCGTTTCGTGCTATTTACACGTCGCGACGCGAATTGCAAAGCGTGTTGCAATAATTTTAACGGTGGACGGAGAAATTTTTATTTCGTTTTTAATAAGTAATTCATCTCCGCACAGAGAACAGAGATATTTAATTTAAAAATTAATCACACTCCTACGCACACGCGGAAAGCGCCCCGCGCTTGTAACGAATTGTTAACGACGGAATGTAATCTCTTTTTTTTCTCCCGCGACTTTAATACGCGACTGATACGAAACGTATTTTTTCGTACTTCTTACGCGAGTCGGAGCGCGCGCGTTCATAAAGACTATGCATTTATGTCCGTTTCCGGGAAAAATGCGAGCGTATTTTTCTGGGGAAATAAGTTGAAAGTGTTTTTATACGCGCGAGCTGCAGCTACGTGTACGCGCGTTGTGTGCACATGCGTGTGCACTTTACTGTGACAATTCGACACGTTTACCCGCTGTGAAGACAACTTGTTTTAATTTACATGCAAAGCGCCTGGAAGAGTTATATCTGTCCTTTCATTACTGCTATACTCTATACGTACACATATGCGTACACACATACGTGTTATTTTTTAATAAATCGAGACTGCTTTAATGTCTACGATACTTTACATGTACATATATAGCTGCAGCTGTAAAAACAGCCTCGATTCATTAAAAAGTAATGCTCCACTGCTCGGAGCAATTTACGGAATACTATTTTCAAACGGGATCGACAGTTCAATCTTTAACACCTCTTCGACGTTTAAGGCGGATTTTTTCGCCACTTGCCGCGTCCAGCTGTGTTCACGCCTGAACACAGTCGGAATCTCCACGCGAACGGTCTATCGCGGAATATCTCCGTCGAGATAAAATGCGACTCATGTCACAAACACCAATGAATATCCCACAAACACGATCCTTCCTCCGCGTATCTTAATTACTCTTAATCCCCGTGCGATATAGAGGTGAGGTGATTCCATCGCAGTTGCGCCGCGAAGAGACACTCGTTCTCGCAATCGAATTGCGCATCGGGAAAACGTCATTTTTCTCCCGCCCCGCCCTCTCTTCCTATCGAGATAGAGAGAGAGAGAGAGATAGAGAGAGAGAGAGAGAGATAGAGAGAGAGAGAGAGAGAGAGAGAGAGAGAAAGTTAAATTAAATTAAATTGAAACCTCGCCTCTCCCCCGCCTAATAAATAACCCCGTTCGCCATCGATCCGCCTTCTCGTCTCGTCTCATGGACATTATCCGAGCCGTTAGGCTCGTAACTGCCGTGTAACCGTGAGCGACGGATTCCGCGGCTCCGACCTGCGATCGCACCTCACCACTGTATAATTACAGACTGCGGGGGTGCCGAGGGCGTGGGCGACGCACGGCGGCGAGGACGTGCCGGTGTTCGCGATCGGGCCCCTCGCGAGCATCCTGTTCTCCGGCAGCGTCGACCAGAGCTACATCCCGCACGCGATCGCCTACGCCTCCTGCCTGGCCCATCACGCCAGCCGTTGCTCCCGAGATTCCACGAACAACGCCAACGCCAGCGACACAATGAACGCCGCGCCGATAAGCTGTCCCTCGGTGGAGCCCAACAGCGCGGCGATATCCAGCGACGTGATGAACGACCAGGCGCGAAATCCATCCACGAAATCCGCGGCCGGCCCGTCGTCGTCGTCATCGTCGTCGTCGTCGTTGCTGCTGCTGTTGCTGCTGCTGCTGCTGCTGCTGCTGCTGCCGCCGCCGCCGCCGCCGCCGTCGCCGCCGTTGCTGCTCGTGCTGTTGACCCGCGTCCCCCCGACTCGCCGGTGTCCCTTCGAAAGGACGAGTTAATGCGCCCCCTTTCGCGTTCGAGCTAGAGGGCTCGAGTCCCTCCCTCACCCCATGACGTAGGTGTTACATGACACACAGTGGAGGAAGCCGGCCGAAACTGCCACGTCCTGGCGGACGCGTTATAAAGGTCGACCGCGTGGCGGCCGCAGTGTAAATTTGTCGGGACGGCCGTTCCGAACGAGTTGTGCATCTCCCGGCGATCTGTTAAATGGATCGTCCGCTCAGCAACGTCGGCCGCCGCCGCGGGAGTCACCGCGGAGGATCGGCGCGATGTAGCGTGGGAACCTTCGGAAGAAAGCGACGGAGGGAGGGAGAAGCCCTAGTGGCGGAGAGGTCCTCTTGAGGCGCGACTGAGGACCTCCAGGAGGAGGCGTATTTGCATTCCTCGACGACCCCGACAAGTGACGGATCGGGCGTTCGTGGACGAGCGCCTGAGACAAGGACACGCCGTTCGCGCACGGTGTATCCTCAATCCTCTCTCATGCACCCGCGATCGAGCGGCCCTACTTTCCGCGCCGCGTGTAATATTTTATATTATCGATACAGAATTGCATTGCTCAAAAGAATTACGGCGTGGATAGATTTATTGCCGTAAATTAGCCAACCTTGACTGGCGATTACTTCGCGAAAAATTATTGTAGACTAATGATTTTTCTTTTTTTCAACATGAAGCTTCAAGTCTCTACTTTAAGAATGTATCTTCATTTTTTGCAATGCACCCCTACCTCTGTAACCCCTGACGTCTGAGGGTATGTTTGGTATACTGAAAATTGCGAAGTTTGACGGAGTGCACGGACGTGAACAATCTTTTTTCGGGGACGCCGTTTGCATCGTCATTTGCAAGTCCAAATCTTCCCCTTCAATTTGGAAGGAAAATGGGCTCGCTACGATTTTTTTTCGCAAAGTTACAGCCCCTCAAAAATATCGTTGTTCTTGACCTTCGGGCCAAGTACCGGCCGGCGGCGGATTATTAAATGACTGGAAATCGTAGCAACGGCAACGGCAAAAGTGTTTGTTGACACGCGCGCATGTTTTTCAGCTCCTGGCTCGTGTTTTGACCACAGCCGACATTCCCAGCGTCGGCAAACAAATTCTCTCCGTATTCTCCACGGCTCCGTACCACGATATTTCTGAAGGGCTGTAACTTTGCGAGAAAAAATTGTAGCGACTCCATTTTTTCAAATTGAAGGGGAAGATTTGAACCTTATGACGATGCAAACGGCGTCCCCGAAAAAAACAGTCCGCGTCCGTGCATTCCGTCAAACTTTGCAATTTTCAGCACACCAAACATGCCTTCAGATGTCAGGTTGTTACAGAGGTAGGGCTGCATCGCATGCAAAAAATGGAGATACATTCTTAAAGTAGAGACTTGAAGCTTCATTTTGAAAAGAAAATCATTAGTCTGCAATAATTTTTCGCGAAGTAATCGCCAGTCAAAGTTAGTCAATTTTCGGCAATAAATCATCTATGCCATAATTCTTTTGAGCAGCGTGTTTACTTCTTCCTGATGCAATTTTGATAGGAAATTATTTGTTAGTTGCAAGTTCATGCTTGAGAGATTCGCTCGGTGGTTTCGCCGAGAGCTTCGGCGGATTATTGCAAACGGAATCTCCTCGACTCTCACTTGTTGTTTCATAATTTTCGAGGAAGGAATCGTTTACTTTTGTTTTTACTTATTAACGAGCTTTCGCTCCGAACGTTTGCATTCGCTATTGATTATTTGACTTGCTTGTGTAACAATGGCCGCACCGCGGCCATTTTCTCACGCTTTCGTTTTTCTCCCGCCGATCCAAGCGACTCGGCCTTGCATGAAAAGATTAATTATCGAGTTGTCTCTCGTGCCTCCGATACGGATTGACTCTGCGAGAGACGTGTCGGAGCAGTCGTCTCTTCTTTCGGTTTCGCGCGCCGCTCGGACTTTGCGGGATTCAGAATTCTTCTATGTGGGTGTGCAACGATCAAGATTACGTCGCGGCAAAATTCTCGCTCGAGATTGACGTTTCTTTCTCCCCGGGAACTGTTGCGAGGTTTTCGGGAGTTACGCGTTTGTCGTCGGAGGAGATACGACGTTGCCCTGCTGGGAAGAGAAGATTCGACCCGGATTCAATGAGAAAGTCCGAAAGGAACGACGGCCGTTCCGATACGTTCCGTGAATAACCGAGCATCCCTTCTTCGCCCATCTCCCAAGCGGGGTGAGTTGGGTGATTCCAGAGAGCACGTTACCGCGGGAAATTCCCCGCCATGCGGCGCAGCACGTTACAACGAAGCGAGTGATAACTCGCGGCCTCTTATCGATTCCGGTGAACGAGCAGATAGGCCGCTATGTGCACGTGAAGCGACTCCCCCGAGCCGCGGGGGGAGTTCCGACTATATAAGGCGTAACATGTAAATACAATCAAGGACAATTAAGAACAAAGAACGACACGCGCCCTCACACATCGAATGTAAATCGCAGGTAGAACTTAGTCACACCGAATCGCGACAGGCCTCACCGCAGAGCGCGCGCGCGCTGACACATCGTTCTGTCCACGCTTGGTTGAACTTTGCCACTTTGCGTACGCTCGTTTGTCCAATCGCGAATGCGCACTCGTCGTTCTTCGTCGGCAGTCCTCATTTCGCTTCGCGATTACGAGTGTTCGGCGTTGTTGTGAGTCGACGTTTCGAGTGCAAAATCGCGCGCGCGCGATTCGACGCCGTTCTCTCCCTTTTACTTACTCGCGCCGCTTTCCAAGAGCAGCCGACTGTCGCGTCACTCGAGGTGACGATTAGCCGCGCGACCGGCGCGCGGCGGCGGCGGCGGCGGCAATCAAAGCGAGTCATCATTAATTTCGCGGGCTAGCCCGATGGTCGTAATTGAACAATCCAGCGCTCGCGCGTTTTCAGGCTCATCCGTAATGTATGACGATATCGCGCGCACTGCGCGAAAATCGACATCGCCGGACGGCTCGTTCATGTATTTGTGACAGGCGTCGAGGGAATCGCAGCCGCGAGCTGAGAGTCCCCTCGGCATTCAATCCTTCAGAATCCGTTCTCGGCCGCGTCCGAATGCGAGTCTGAGTTTCCATTTCCGCTGTGACGCGCGGCGACCGTGTGAATTTCGCGCGCAGCTTCTCGCGCGACTCGCACCGCACTCGGGCTCGTGTTTAATTTCGACTGCGACCTCGCCGGTCTTTCATAGACCGACCGCGTGAAAAATTGCTCCTACGGTCTGTCTACAAAGTTTTCAAACGGAGATTGGTTTAATGAGAATTTTTCACGCAGTTCACAGACATGCTCGGTTTGGAAGCTGCTTTGCGAGTAGGAGATCCGCGATTGCATATTGAATCGCCTCAATGTCGGAATAGCGCTTCCCCTTCATTGGCAACTTGGCAGTTTTGGACGTAAGAAAGTCTGCAGGGGCCAGAGATCTGGCCAGAGTAAGGCGGACGATGATGAATCTATAACGCGGGAATGCTCGATTCCGCCAAATACGGAGTGACAATGTGACACTGTGCGGCAAAAAATCCCTTTCCGCGTGTCAACTTCGAGTTGACTGTGGCCTCGAGCGGGACAAATCCCCGGCGAATGATACTCTTGAAATGAAAGATTGCACAATGAGCATTGTCTTCACTTTCGACTCGGTCCGCCGAACTTTTCGGGGCTCGGCCATTCAGCGCTTTGACGGTCATCAGCGCTCGGTTTCGCATCACAATTTGTCGTCGGTTTTTTATATCTTCGGTTTGAAATTTTATTGAAATTTTATCGCGCGGCTCTTTGTTCTATTTTTTCTATTTTACACGAACGAAGGTATGAGCGAGAAAAAACACGCAAAGTTCGCGCCGCTCTCCTGCAGCGTAGACTAATGATAACTAGCCTAAAAAATTAGAAGGCAGAGAGAGGGTGCTTGATAGTTACTGCTGGCCATTCAGTTCAACCGATGGCACCACTTGTACCTTCAGGAAAAAAATATTAGCCCGGGAACTTTTCAGACAGACCGTGTAGTTCTTTCACAGACGTAAGTACACGTATATGTGCTTGGGGTCGTGCGTGCTAGTTTGAAATGCTCGCAGCATTCATTTGAAGAGCGGCAGTCGAAAAGCAAAATACGTTCCCGCGTGCGCAATAATACGGGATTATCATCACTTTGAATATCGCGGGATATTTTTAACGAGCCGCGTGTATTCTCTTTAATTGCCGCGATTAGCCCGTATCGCCGCATGCGATAATGTATGCGGCGTTCGTCCGCACGACGGTTTTTCCTTCTGGATACAACGGATATGCCGACAAAATCAATACGGAGAGGCAAATTGCAAGTTTCGAGTTCTCCATCGAGCGATGCGTATTAACAAATTCACCGGTCAATATATCGTCGGTATTACGTTTTATTCGCAGGTGCTGATGCATCATCGACGATATTTTCAATTCGTGTGAAACAAACATGAAAGTCATCTGCGGCTCCCGTTGCTGGACAATATTTCAATTCGCGGCTTTAGAAGAAGAAGATGACAATTTTTCGGGGCTGGACAAATATCGATTTTGGACTTTGCCCGGACAGCCAGCCTGTTATTTCATGAAATGAGAAACACGTTGCTCGCACAAACAATGTCAAGGCGAGAAAAGTACCGATATCCTGCCTATAATTTCATATTTCATTTTTATTATTTTAGTCTCACGTTCCTGTTATTTGCTCACAAGGTAAGGTAGGGAATCCGGAAATTATGAAACTTTGTGTGGAAGTAAAGTAGTTCATCCATAATGCAAACCTATTTTTTCTTCGTGCGTCCAGTCTGAGGGGATGAAACTCTCGGAGGGTGAAACCGCCCATCGAAAAGCAACACCATTTTCATTTTTAGCGTATATCTTTTAAAATACGAGACATATGTAAATATAGTTGATATGAAAATTGTACTATATTTCATACTCCTTGCAACTGTGTATTCAGATTTTGGGAAATTGGAGGAGGGCGGAAGGGGAGATTTCAAAAATGTTTCAATTTTGCAAAATTTGAATACACAGTTGTAAAGAATATGAAATACACTACAATTTTCATACAAACCATTGTTGCATACGCTACGCTATTTTAAAAGATATATGCTAAAAATGAAAATAACTTTTTTTTTCAAAGAGTGGTTTCACCCCCTCAGACTGGAATTCCGCATAAACAAAAAATAGTTTTGCATTACGGATGAAGTACTTTACTTCCACACACAGTAAAGTAATTCATAATTTTTTGAATTTCCGAGTTCCCTATGTTCTTTCGTTGGTTCTTAATCTCTACAAATTATCAACGAATGATTTCCTCGATTCCCATTATTTTAAGTAAACACGAATATTTAGACTTGCGCCGTGAAATACGCGCAGTCTGTGCTGGAAATTTAAATATTCCAACTGAAAGGCCTGAAACGATAAAAATATCCAGACTTTTAGCGGCCCGATATCGGTACGTTGACCCCACTCTGCGAGAACAGCGCGCGAGGGTAGCTGTAGCGCGAACAGCGGAGGAGGGTGCTTCGCAGCCACGAGGGGAGCGTGCATACGTTAAGTAACATCTTCATTTCTCCGGCCGTTCATATGAACCCGCGCGGTCGCTGCAGGAACACACCGAAATCATTCCCGGCCCCGGCGGGAAGCCGGCAAACGCAGCGTAGCGCAATACGTTAACAACCGACAACAGCGAGAGAGATGGGGAAGAGGGTTAAACGGCAGCGAGGCGGCTCTTCCGGCGGGGTGAATTCCTTCGCCCGGCGTATATCTTGCCCGTAGGACGACGGTCGTTTACGATCGCGCGGTGACTGCGGCATAAAAAGAGGCGCGACAGCGGACCCGACGTAAATTCCTCCGCGCCACGCTGCGCCGCGCGTCGCGTCGCGTCGCGTCGCTCGCAGCAGCTCGCAGTTTGCGCAGATAGCGAAGGTACCGTAAAACAGTTATACCACCTAAGAGGACAACGAATGGCCGGCCGCGTTTCTCCTTGGCGCGTCGCGCCGAAACCCAGCGGAATTTATCCTGTTTGCGCACGGAGGACACCCCTTGTTGCCGGCTGCGGCTGCGGCTGCGGCTGCGGCTGCGAACGTCCGGGAGATTCGCGCGACGATCACGGTGTTCATGGGCGGGCTGGGCTGGTCGGCCGGTGGGCTTAATTGCGAGCGGACACGGGCGAAATAAGACACGACGGTATTAAAGTCGCCGAGCGGAGGGCGAGG